TTCCTGTTTGATGACTGTGATACTATAGTTGTTTTTCCATAGTCACGGGTTCTGCATCTGTGGATTCAGCTAGCTGGGATTGAAAAATTAGGGTGGGAAATTGGATGACTGTGTCTGTACTCAGCATGTACAGACGTTTTTTCTTTTTAGGAGACAGGGTCTCCCATTGCCTAGGTTGGTCTCAAACTCCTGAGCTCAAGGGGTCCTCCTGCCTTGGCCTCCCAAAGCATTGGGATTATAGCTGTGAGCCACTGTGCCTGGCCAGACTTTTTTTTCTTGACACTTTTTTCTTTTCTTTTCTTTTTTCTTTTTCTTTTCTTTTTTGAGACAGGGTCCCACTCTGTTGCCCAGGCTGGAATGCAGTGCCATGATCATAGCTCACCACAGCCTCTGTCCCCCAAGCTCAAGTGATCCTCTTGTCTCAGCCTCCTGAGCAACTGGGACTATAGGCACATGCTACCATGCCCAGCTAATTTAAAAAAAAATTTTGTAGAGACGGGATTCCACTGTGTTGCCTAGGCTGGTCTCACACTCCTGGGCTCAAGTGATCCTCTCTCCTCAGCCTCCCAAAGAGCTGGGATTACAAGCATGAGCCAGCATGCAGGGCCTTGTCATTATTTCCTCAACACTACAGCATAACAACTATTTACCTAACATTTACATTGTAGTAGGTATTATAAGTAATCGAGAGATGATTTAAAGTATACAAGAGGATGTGTGTCAGTACGTTATATGCAAATACTATGCCATTTTATATAAAGGACTTGAGTATCCAAGGATTTTGTCATCTGTGGTGGGTGGGGGCTGGGAGGTTCCTGGAACCAATTACCTGCTAATACGAAGGGACAACTGTATATTTGAATTTAGAATGAAAACATTTAGCATGTTTCACATTGTACACCAAAAGGCTGTATATAATGTGTATCGCCTCTGTTACTATCTGTGGTTTAAAAGAGAAAGACATCATTCTCAACTCAGAAATTAATAGTTACATTTGATTTTCACTCACAGCAGGTCAACAGCTCTTAAAGCCTGTGTTTGTAAAACAGAAGGAAATTAAGTGCATAAAGCACAAACATGTAAATGTTCTTTTCTTTCCTAATGCTTCACCAGTTCTACCTTCCCATCCCTACGCTCCAGTTTGATATCAACCCAAGATATCAGCACTTGTTTCATTCTGTGTTATTCCTTGTTATGCTCTCTAGCCCAACAAAGCAGTTTGCTGTAATGTGCGTGCACGTGACTTTCTATCTCAATCTTCCTCTATTTCATAAATGTTTAACACTTCACATTTATTATGTACCATGTGGGAGTCTACTTTCTACAGGACTGTCTCCACCCATCATAATGAGCCTTTTAATCCAATAGGGGAGTTAAAATACATATTTAGATTTGCTAAATATGAGACTTTAGATTTAAGTGTCTTGTAGGGGATGCAAGCTAAATGTTATAAGAATATAGGAAAGGAAGGAATTACTTTTAACTGGAAACGGAAGAAAGTTTATAGATTGGTAGGTTAGGGAAAAGAGCTATTCTGTCTAACCTTGTAGACTAAAGAGAAAGCTAATAATTTCTCAGATGAGATATACTTAAGCAGCTTAGACTCTGCTAACAGAAACAAAACATTTTTTATGTAAGTATAGATGTAAATTCATACCTAGAAATACTCATGTGAACTGTTATCTCATAGTTTGCTGAAGGCTGTTGTACTTCTGAGCATAGAACTTTGGAATTTTAGTAGAAATCTGGAAATTTAGAAGCCTGGAAATTTAATAGAAATCTGAAACCATTTAACATTTTTAATAATGTATACTTGGGGAAATATTCAGACATTGCAGAATATATGAGAGAAGATGTTGAATCACTCCTACCCCAATTTCATTCCCTTAGTATATGAACAATTGGTGTTACATTTTTAACAAAAATTTTAAAAGAAATTTCTGTAAGTAACAAAATAATCCACTAAGAATTTCTTCTTGACCTCTTAATGGAGGTTACATTACCCCTCTAGGAAAACAGTACCTCTGTCTGGCTTGCATTTCTATAAAACGCCTAGTGCCTAGGCTACAAGTGGATCACAGGAAATGTTTTTACCTTTCTCCCCGTCTCCCACTGCGAATTGATGTGTTTATTCAGTTGACTGAGTCAGCCCTGTTGAGAATACCCCTGTGGGAGAATTCATACTGTGCACTTGTGTGCAGAGTCTCATTCCCAGCAGACTGAGGTGGAGAATGGAGGCTGGAGTAAAACGAGGAGGCTAAGAGGAGCAGTGTCAGAGCAAGAGAAAGTCCCCTTGGACTTGTTAATCCTAACTTGAAAATTGTGTCTTTTAGCCTTTACCAGTAATTTAGTAGAACTTTTTTGTGGATTCCTGTAAGATTATATTTATGCCTGATGTGGGCATAAGACCTTTGGTGCTCTTACTGTGTTTTCGTTCACCAATCCACCTGAATTCCAATTCACTACTTTTTCATATCTGTCTTCAGGCCAGTAGATCCAGCGAGGGCTTCTGAAGCAGTATGTTTCATATGGCTAGATAGATACAGAGAGATAGAGCATTGAATAATTTGAAGAAGGGAGATAACTATTTTGTATCTCTCTTCAGATGCCCGGAATAGCTATAAAGACATCATAAAAACTATCCTAACCTAGAAATAATGAAAAGAAGTTATATAGTGATGGGTGACAAAGATAGACTTTTTCCAAAAAAATTTAAAGTTTTCATAGCATGTTTTCTAAGAACTAAAGAGAGGGATTTTTTTTTCCTATTTTTTGAGATGGAGTCTCACTCACTCTGTCGCCTGGGCTAGAGTGCAGTGGTAGTGATGTCAGTTCACTCCTCTTCCTGAGTTCAAGCGATTCTCCTGCTTCAGCCTCTCAGGTATCTGGGATTAAAGGCATTTGGCACCATCCTTGGCTAATTTTTATGTTTTTAATAGAGATGGAGTTTCACCATGTTGGCCAGGCTGATATTGAACTCCTGACCTCAAGTGATCTGCCCGCCTCAGCCTCACAAGGTGCTGGGATTACAGACGTGAGCCACTGCACCCAGCCTTTTTTTTTTTCCTTTTCTTAAGAGACAGGATCTTTCTGTTGCCCAAGCTAGAATGGTGCAATCATGGCTCACTGCAGCCTCCAGCTCCTGGGCTCAAGCAATCCTCCTTTCTCAGCCTCACAAGAAGCTGGGACTACAGGCACATACCACCATGCCCAGCTAATTTTTTAAAGTTTAGAAATGGTGTCTCTCCGTGTTGGCCAGGCTGATCTTGAACTCCTAGCCACAGGCAGTCCTCCCATCTTAGCCTCCCAAAGTGCTGGGATTACAGGGCATGAACCATTATGTCCAATAGCAGGAAAATTTTTATGTAAAGCAATTTTTTTTTAATTTTTAATTTCTGTTACAGAATCTTCATTCCTGCCTGTACTAGTTTGCAAGGGCTGCCATAACAAAATATTACATAACAATACAGAAATGTATTTTCTCACCATTCGGGAGGCTAGAAGTGCAAGATCAGGGTGTCAGCTAGGTTAGTTTCTTCTGATGTCTTTTTCATTAGTTAGCCTGTAGATGGTCATGGTCTCTCTGTGTCTTCACGTGGGCCTCCCTCTGTATGTGTCTGTATCCACATTCCCTTTTCTTATAAGGACACCACTCCATTTGGATTAAGGCCCACCCTCATGACATCACTTTAACTTAATTACCTTTTTAAAGACCCTATCTTTAAAAACAGTGACATTTTGAGGTACTGAGGGTTAGAACTTCAACATATGGGTTGGGGAGGAGCACAACTCAGCCTATGACTCTGCCCCTTCCCACTGATAACTGTGATCAGTTCCTGACTTTTTATCTAGACTGTGGCAGTCCCCATCCCCAATTCTCTTTTTTCTTTCACCACTATTATGTAAAGCAGTTTTTATTACCAAGTAGAAATGATTCTTGGACATTGGAGACAGCTGAATTTTGAAGTTGTTTAACTTAAATGGAAGAGAAGTATGAATTTTTGTTTCGAGGTAGGTCACTACCATTCTCTTAAGGGTACCACAGTCATTCAGTGTTTCAGAACATTGGCTTCCCCTTATTGATGGTATATTTTTTGTCATTCTCTTTAATATTAAAAACAATACATTTGTGTAGGTTTTATTACAAAAGTAATATATGCTTGTTATTAGGAGCACAAGGAAACTTTTGGGGGTTTTGGATATATGTGTTGACTATCTTGATTGTGGTGATGATTTCATGAGAATATAAGTACATTTTTCAAAACTTACCAAATTGTATACTATAAATAAATAGGTGCTGTTTATCATATGACAGTTATATCACAATAAAACTGCTTAATTTCTTTGCTGATTTGATGACTAAAAACTTGGACTTACTTTGATATTAATGTGAATTTTCATGACATTTGGTGAGGTTGAGCCTTTTTATTAGTTGTTTGTATTTCATTTTCAGTGAATTGTTCAGATAGACAGTTTGCCTCTTTTTCTCTTGGGATGTGTGTGTGTGTGCGTGTACATGTGTGTCTGTCTTGTCAACTTGGTTAACCCACTCTGGGACTAGTGATAATAACCCAGCATCTCTCTTACCTTTTGCTAATATTTTCTCCTAGTTGATTTTTCTTTTTTGTTTTTTATATTTTTTAGGGACAGGATCTCCCTCTGTTGCAGAGGCTGTAGTGGCTTGTGGTCCAAAGTGGGCTCTCCACCTACTTTTAATTTAAAGGAAAGATTTTTGACCCTTTGGCATCTAGTCCACTTTAATATGGTTGTGGGCCTGTCTAGTAACCACACATTAACAAAAGTGAAGGGGTGTGTGTGTGTCTCAGTCCACATACATACATCTATGTGTGTATATATAATAATATTTTCCCCAATCCTGGGTCATTCCATTTTACCTATGCAGTGAGAGAATATTCAGAGAATTCCATATATTCACTTTAAAAATAGTTATGTAACAAGGATTCAGAGTCACTTTTTCTTTTTCTCGTTGTTTGTTTTAGGGTAACCAGGAGCCAACAACAACTCCTGACGCAATGGTTCAGCCTTTTACTACCATCCCATTTCCACCACCTCCGCAGAATGGAATTCCCACAGAGTATGGGGTGCCACACACTCAAGACTATGCCGGCCAGACCGGTGAGCATAACCTGACACTCTACGGAAGTACGCAAGCCCACGGGGAGCAGAGCAGCAACTCACCCAGCACACAAAATGGATCTCTTACGGTATGTGAACCATGAGGTGAAAAATAGAAGAATGCGTGGCAATCTTATCGAAATTGTCACCTTGATTATACAACTGGAAAACTCTCGGAATTAATTTAGCATTTACATATGTTCTCATGTACACCTTCTCTCAGCAGCGTTGTACACATTGTCCTCCCTCCTCCTAGAAATACTTAGTCTCTTGGCTTTTCCAGCTCTACCAATTTTCCTGCCGAGCATTGGGTGTTCTGCCCCTGCCTCCTTCTCTGTTCAATTTTTAAATGGTGCAGTATTCCATGTGTAGGTCCTGGAACCCCTTTTCTTCTTATTATACATCCTTTCTCTATATAATTATACTACCAAACTCAGTTGCTCAAGCAAAACCTAGGAATATTCTCTCTCTTTCTTTCTTCTTTCTTTCTTTCTTTCTTTCTTTCTTTCTTTCTTTCTTTCTTTCGGCACAGGAATAATTACATAACAACAATACAACAACAACAGCAACAACAACAGCAACAACAACAACTTTCTTTCTTTCTTTCTTTTTCTTTCTCTTTCTTTCTTTCTTTCTTTCTTTCTTTCTTTCTTTCTTTCTTTCTTTCTTTCTTTCTTTCTTTCTCTCTCTCTCTCTCTCTCTCTCTTTCTTTCTTTCTTGCGTTCTTGCATTCTTGTGTTCTTTCTTTTCTTTCTCTTTCTTTCTTTTCTTCCTTTCTTTCCTTTCTTTCTTCTGCACATCTAATTGATTAGCAAGTCTTGACAACCATAACTCTAACTACTTCATCCTCTTCTCCACATCTTATTGCTCTTCCACCAGATTGCTTGTGTTTGAATCTCAATACGGCCCCTGCTAAACTGTGTGCCCTTGGACCAGTTATTTAATCTCTCTCTGCTGTTGGTTCACTCTAAAATGAAGATAATCATACCTACCTGAAGAGGCTGTTAGGAAATTTAAAAGGATTTATCATCATCACCACTCTAGTCCAAACCTCATCACTGATTTCCGATATTACTGTTGCCTAACTTATCTATCCTCCACATAGGACTAAGGTGGTTTTGTTTTTTTTAAACGCAAATTTTGCCGATTTCCTACTTAACTCTTAATAGTTCCCTAATGCAATTAGAATATAATCTGAACTTTGTACTTGGTTTACTAGTCTCTAGCCCAGCTTACCTCTTTGACCTCACCTCTTCCTACTAACTTGCTGAAGTAAAGGAAATGTCATAAATTAATAATAGGTATGTATCTCATACATATCAACATATGGGAAATTGTATTGTCTCTTGCTTTGTTGCCCAGGCTGGAGTGCAGTGGCATGAACATAGCTAGCTCACTGCAACCTCAGTCTCCTGGGCTCAAGTGATCCTCCTTCTTCAGCCTCCCATGTAGCTGGGACTACAAGCACACACCACCACGCCCAGCTCATTTTTTACTTTTTTGTAGAGACAGGGTCTCCTTTTGTTGCCCAAGCTTATTTTGAATTCCTGTCATGCAATCCTTCTGCCATGGTCTCCCAAAGTGCTGGGATTACGAGGCATGAGCCACCACACCCAGCCTTGTGTGGTGTATTTCTAAAGACAGAAATGTTCTATAATCTGCATAGAAAGACCTAGCTCTGTTAGATTTCTTTTTCTCTTTCCTATATCTGGTTATCAAAAGGAGACCTTTATTCAGCCTTTAAGCCACTTGCTAAGGATGGATTTAACCCATAAATGCTTTCAATTTTCTTTCATTAGGTATTGAACCACCAAGAAATTCCTACTTTCAATGTTTATTAGTAGGTATAAGCACATAATTTTATACTTCAGAAGTAATTGGCTACAATAGATAATTTATTTGAAGAGTCTAGGCATGATAGGTAACAAATGAGACTTTCAGTAGCATTTGTTCTAGAATCATAAATATACAGGCTCATGTATTGACTACATTTCCAAATAATTTTTTAATGATCATGAACTCACAGACCTATCAGAATAACTGTTTCAATTAAAGAAGCGAAAAAGAAGAAATAAAATATATATGAAGCTTTTCCAAGGTGTTTTAATCACTAAATCAATTTCTATACTAATTATCAGGGTTTTTTTTTTTTTTCATTTTTATTCTCTGTTTCTTGTTTGGGTAATATGTGTCTTTTTAGTAATTTGCTTCATATAAACTGTCAATTTTGTTGGGGTAAAGTTATTCATAATTTCATATAATCCTTTTAATTTGTATAGGGTCTGTGGCGATATCCCTGTTGACATTCTTGATTTGGCAATTTATGTCTTCTCTCTTTTTTTATTGGTCAGTCTAGCTAAGGTTTATTAATTTTGTAGATTTTTCCAGGAAACCAACTTTTTGTTTCATTGATTTTTGTTGTTTTTCTTTTTTTTTTTTTTTTTTTTAATTATTTTCCACTCTGTTATTATTTCTTTCTTCTTGCTTTGAGTTTGATTTGGTCTTTATTTTGCCAGCCTCTTGAGTTGGAAGCTTAGGCGATTGATGTTAGATTTTCTTCCTTTTTGTGTTTAAAACTGTAAACACAGCAAGTTTCCCTTTAGCTGCATACCATAAAATATGATCTATTTTGTTTTTGTTTTTATTTCATTCAAGACATTTTAAATTTTTTTCCTGTGGTTTCTTCTTTGCTTCTGGGTTGCATAGGAGTATGTTGTTTCCAAATGTTTGGGGATTTCCCAAATGTCTTTCTTTTATTGATTTATAATTTAATTTCTTTGGAGCTTCATATGATTTCAATTTTTTTATTTATTTATTGATATTTGTTTTATGGAAACGATTTGTCTGATATTAATGTAACCACATCAGCCTTCTTATAGTTACTGTTTACATGTTTTTTTTCTGTCATTTTGTTTCAACTGCTTTGTATCTGAAGTGTATCTCTTATTTTTTTTTTAAAAAAAAAGGGGGGGAGGGGGCAGGCAGGGTGGCTCACACCTGTAATCCCAGCACTTTGGGAGGCCAAGGCGGGTGGATCATGAGGTCGGGAGTTCAAGACCAGCCTGGCTAACATGGTGAAACCCCGTCTCTACTAAAAATAGAAAAATTAGCTGGGCGTGGTGACGTGCGTGTGTAATCCCAGCTACTCGGGAGGCTGAGGCAGGAGACTCGCTTGAACCCAAGAGGCAGAGGTTGCAGTGAACCGAGATTGCGCCACTGCACTCCAGCCTGGGCGACAGAGTGAGACTCCATCCCCCACTCCCAAAAAGCATACAAGTAGATCTTGCTTCTTGCTTCTTCATCTGGTCTGAAAATTTCTATCTTTTTATTGGAGCATTTAGTCAATTTGCATCTTAATGTAATTATTAATGTAGGTAGATTTATGTCTGTCATTTTACTGTCTCATGCCTTTTATTGTTCCTTTTTTCCTTCTTGACTGATTCCTGTTACATAATTGTTGTACCTTTTACATCCCTTTGTGATATTTTTTCATTAGTTATTTTTTGTTTGTGCTGGTGTTTCTTGTATTTTCTTAGTGCCTTCTCAAGGAATTACATCTTTGACTTATCACAACTTATTACTAATGGTTATGTGTGTGTGCACATGCATGTGTGTCTTATTCTGGTTAAATATAGCAGCCTAGGTCTAATATAGCTTCATTCCCTACACTCTTTTGTGCTATTGTCATACATATTATGCCTGTATAGTTTAGATATATAACAATACACTATTATAATTATTACTTTAAACAATCTTACCTTTTTTTTTAAGATCTCTTTTTTGTTTTGTTTTTTTTTTTTTTTTTTTTTTTTAGACAGAGTCTTGCTTTGTCGCCCAGGGTGGAGTGCAGTGGCCGGATCTCAGCTCACTGCAAGCTCCGCCTCCCGGGTTTACGCCATTCTCCTGCCTCAGCCTCCTGAGTAGCTGGGAGTACAGGCGCCCGCCACCTCGCCCGGCTAGTTTTTTGTATTTTTTGGTAGAGACGGGGTTTCACCGAGTTAGCCAGGATGGTCTCGATCTCCTGACCTCGTGATCCGCCCGTCTCGGCCTCCCAAAGTGCTGGGATTACAGGCTTGAGCCACCGCGCCCAGCTAAGATCTCTTTTTTTAGAGCAGTTTTAGGTTCACAGTAAACTGAGAAGATAGTAGAGACTTACCCCATATACCTTCTGCTCCCCCACATGCATGGCCTCCCCCACTAACAACATTTCATACCAGAGTGGTGCACCTGTTACCACTGATGAACCTGGATTGATACATCTTTATCACCTAAAGTCCATTAGAGTTTACTCTTAGTGGTGTACATTCTGTGGGTTTGGATCCATGCATAACATATAGCTAGCATTATAGCATCATAAAAAGTAATTTCACTGCCCTAAAAATCCTCCGTACTCTGCTTGTTTATCCCTCTCTCCTCCCCACAACCCAACCCCTGGCAACCACTGATCATTTAACTATCTCCATAGTTTTGCCTTTTTCAGGATTTCATGTAGTTGTAATCCCACGGCATGTAGCTTTTTTCTGATTGGCTTCTTTCACTTAGTAATGTGCATTTAAGTTTCCTCTGTGTCTTTTCATGTCCTGACAGTTCATTTCTTTTTCAGCACTGAATAATATCCCATTGGTCTGTATGTACCACAGTTTGTTTATCCGTTGACCGGTTTAAGGGCATTTGGTTGCTTCCAGATTTTGGCAATTATGAATAAAGCTACTGTAAACATTCATATGCAGGGTTTTTTGTGAACTTAGTTTTGAACTTCTTTGGGTAAATACCAAGGGCCATGATTGCTGGATCATATGCTAAGAGTATGTTTCGTTTTATAAGAAACCACCAAACTACCTTCCAGAGTGGCTCTACCATTTTGCATTTCCACCAGCAACGAATGAGAGTTCCTGCTGCTCCACATCCTCGCCAGCATTTGGTGTCTGGATTTTGGCCATTCTAATAGATATGCAGTTGTATCTCATTGTTTTAGTTTGCATTTCCCTGATGACATATGACATGGAACATCCTTTCATGTGGTTATTTGCTATCTTTATATCTTATTTGGTGAGGTATCTGGTAAGGTCTTTGTCCTATTTTTTAATCA